AGCATTGCCTGCTCTCCAAAGGTCCTGAGTTCAATTCCCAGCAACCACATGGTGGCTCACAACCATCTGCAATGGGGTCTGGTGCCCTCTTCTGGCCTGTAGGCATATACACAGACAGAATATTGTATGCATAATAAATAAATATAAAAAAAGAAAAAAAGAGAAAATAAATTAATTATTTTACTGATTTGTTTTCTTTGTTGTGTTTTGTATTGCATTTTATCATACAAGTTTTTTTTATTTTCTAGAGTCTTGGCTGTGGCTATGCTTATTTCTTACTTTAGTTACAAGAATTACTTATAGTATTCGGTTTAGGGATTTTTGGTTTTCTTGAGTATGACTTTTTTATTTAAAGCTGCTTATGTCATGGGAAGCTTCTCATTCACCTTCAATTATGACAGATAGTTTAGTTGGGTGCAGTAGTCTAGGTTGTCAGTCTTTTAGAATGTGGAGTTCATTGTTTGAGGTTTTCAGTTTTCCTTAAAAATTCAGGTGTTGTTTTGATTGTTTCCCTTTATATGTAAGTTTTGTTTTTCTTTTGCAGCTTTCCTTTGTTTTTCTTTGTTCTGTATAGTTAGTGTTTTATTTATTATTATTGTTATTATTATTATTATTATTATTATTATTATTGTGATATGTTATAGGGTGTTTTTTTCCCACCTACTTAGTTGGGTTCCGTGTGTTCCTTGTATCTCTATGTATGTGTCTTTCCTTAATTTAGGGAAGTTTTCTAAGATCTTGTTGAATATTTGATCTATTGCATATCTGGGATTCTCCCTCATCTATGCTTATAATTCACAGTTTTGATTTTTTGGTGGTGTTTCACATTTCATGTACGTTCCTTCCCTGTGATTTTAAATTTTCATAATCTTCGTTATTTCTAGATTCTCTACTTTATCTTCAAGTTCTGATATCCTATCTTCTGCTTGATTCATTCTGCTTCTAAGGCTTTCCCTCTGAGTTTTATGAGATACTTAGTTTTTAATTCAGTCTTCATTTCAGCTTCTATTCCCTTCAATGTTTCTTTCTTTATTGAACTCAGTTTTCATGTTTTGAATTATCTTCATCATTTTATTCAGCCATGTACTTGTATTTTCTTGGAAATACTCAAGTGTTTATTACTGTCTTCTTGGAGTTCAATGAAGTGTTTGTTCATGTCTTCTTTAAATTATTTGAGTTCTTTAATAAAGTTTATGATTGTTCTTTTAAACTCTGTGTCCTAGATTTCATCTAGGTAGTTCTTGTTATAGAAAACTTTTATTGGACTAGTAGATTTGATGGGAGACATTCTGTCTTGGCCATTTTATGTTGTTTTTGTTTTGGCAATTTGACCTGGCAATGTGAAATCCTTTCTTTGGTGATGTGTCTGATGAGATAAACCCCTTTCCTTAGGTTGGGCCTGTACAAAAAATTCATGACCTGAACCAAGTAAAGCTGTTGGATGAACTGTTTACGTGAATCAGGAAAAGATGGCTCCTAAACCATGGATCTGGAACTAGCCCTATGGGTTCAATATGGCAGCGGTCAGAGAGAACGATGGGAAATGAAAGTGGCATCTTACCCCTCAAAGGTGACTTCTGAACAAAGTAGTCTGGAAGACCAGCTACTGGACCTTGACATGTTGATCTAGAGATGTACAGTGATAGGAAGACATTGGTGAGGGGGATACAGGGGTGATAGGAAAGAAGAAACAATTTGCCAAGTTAAGATAGCTCCCAAAGAAAGAGGGTTCCTAGGCTAGGCTAGGCTTGTGTGTAGAGATGGTGGATGGGAGGGAGGGGACTGGGTAGGAAAAGAAAGAGATCACACAGGTGGCAAAGATGGCTTGTGAACAAAGAGGTATCATAGGATGCTGATCTGGAACTAAGCTTCTGAGTGTGGAGATAGCAATGGATTGTAGGAAGGGGAGGAAAGTGAAGAAGTGACTTACCAAGAGCAGGTAGCTCATAAAGATGGCCCTTAGTCTGCGGGTCTCGATCCAGGCTTGTCAGTATGCAGATCTGTATTCTTAGTCACTGTAGAACACAAGTCTCTTATCTAAACATTCCTTAAGTTACACCGAGGAACCAGTCTTATACCTATGAACATTAGAACTTCATTCTTTGTAGTTTTGGAACTAATCCTTTGCATTTTGGGAATTAATTCCTTGCATTGGCAGCACTGTCCTGGGCATTATGGAATGATGAGTTGTTTCCCTCCATCTGTACACAGGTGCCAAAGCCCTTTCTCTCAAGCAGAAGTAATGAAGTATGTCTAGTTTGTCTTAGTGTTGATTTGAGTAACCATGGTCTGAGAACACTGATTCAGGTTACCCTACATTTCATGTTCCAACACGGAAGCAGTTGTATAATTTTGTAGAACAAAAAATCATAAATCAGGGCAAATTTAAGATACTTTGGTTGTCATAGCAGAGAGAAGTTGAGAATTTCAGTGTTAGATTGATTAACTTGTTCTCTTATATGACAAATGCTACCTGGGCTTAAAATGAAATGAATAGTGTCTGTCTTAAGAGTCTTATTTCCCTTTGTTTGAGAAAATGTAGCTAATTTATTTTAACCTAATTATTGTTATATAACAATTATATAGTCCAGGCTAGCCTGTAAAAACTTATGGTCTGTAGCTAGTTATCCTGATATTATTTTAAGGGTTTATATCATATGTATGTATTGCTATATCTGATTTTTGAGAAATTATTAATAAAATAATAAAAAACCTTGTATACCTGAATCCTTTTTAAACTAGGTACAATTTCCGTGTGATAACTGAACTTAAGTTTCTTTTGTATTTTCAAAACTTGCGGAGCAGTTGGCTAGAACGACACTTAACCACATCGCGTGAGAGTCAACAGTCATGGTTTCTTCCAGTGAGAATTGAATGCTTTCCTCCTGCTTCAGAGACATTTCCTGAGGGTAAGGTGGCTCCCATGTTCCCCTTAGAACCTCACTTAGCCACTTGATAAACTCAAATGTTCTTCTGTCTACACACCAAACCTTGCCCAAGGGGAGGAAAAGATAAAAAAGGGCTCAACCCGTGTCACCCAGGTTTTGTCTATGAGAAGCCTATTGCCTGAAATGCCTTCCAATCAAACAGGCAAACCAAATCAAACCCACCTGAAAGATCTAACCTTCAGATGACATAACTGAAGTGAACCATAAACCTCCACTCTGGTTTATATAAAAGTTCAATTAATTGGTAGTACATTTAAGGGCCCTGTCAAAATAAGAAAACAAGGGGAAACATTACAATGATTGACAGATTAAATTATCCTAGCTTAAAATTACAAATAAGGTAATGTCTGCCGGTTCTGTGGTGGAACTAGGAGTTGGATAGATTTTGATGGCAGACATATAGGAAGAGGGACGACAAACAGCTAATAAAGACGGTCAACTTCTGACTTCTTCCTTGCATCTCTGATCTGACAAAAAGGCCTGACAGTTTAAGACAAAGGCACACATAGCCCTCTGGCCATTGCCCCTGTCTGACAAACAAGCCCAAAGCAGGTCATATTTGTCCATCAGTTGCAGACCTGATAGCCTCTTGTCATTTCTAATAATAGTTTCTCTTTCCTTCTTGCTGAAACTTTGAGCATGTTCCTCAAATATTATTCTTTTCTTGGATGGACTATTGAAAATATGTACTAACATGTATGTGTATGTACAGCTTTCAGCTTTCCTTCTCTGTTGATGCCACTGTTTGATTTATGCAAATGGGAGACTCCTTTCTGAGCATCTCAGCATGTTCAGGCCTGATTTGTTATTGTTTGAAATTCTGGGACTGTTTTACACACATTTACAAAGAAAAACATTTGGCCTTTGATAAACGAATGACAAGCATGATATAAAGGCTGGAGGATGGTCAGTGAAGATCGGTACAGCGAGATCTGCACATCTGGCCCCAGCTGTGCAGCTACTCACAAGAAATGACTAATCCTGGTTTGGCCAAAGTCAGTAATTATTTTTACTGTTGTTGTGAAGATCAAAGGTTATTCCAGGAAGGAAGGCTGGGGCAATGGACTTTGTTATCTGACAGCAGTGGGGATTTATAAAAGCTATCATTTGGGTCACGGTTTGCACATTAACTCA